ATAAATAAATGAGTGATATTATATTATAGTTGTTGTATTATTTATTTATTAAATTAAAATAAATTAATGAATTATCAAAATAAGATATAAAAAAAAATATATTTATAACAATAAATATAAAATAATGCACAATATTATCTTATATACCACATATATTATATTAACAGCGAAATTGATATGCTAATCGATACGAGATAGAAAACTTTGGCACATATTCAAGAGTTGGATTTATAAACAAATGTTTATCTCATAGGTGAAAATTTTATAGGATATCTTTGATTGTTAGTTAAATGTGAGGAACGAAAAAAAGTTAATATTTAATAATTAATTATTATTATTATTTATAATTAAAATTTTTAATCAATAACTTGTTAGGGCATGAGCATCATATTTAAGATGCAATTTGTAACCCCTCCACTGATATTTGGGTACAAATAAAACAATTTTAATAAGTGATATATCCTCATCTAAGAAGGTAGTAACTTAATATTTATAAATTATGTAATTTATAAGTACTCATGACATTAGTTAAGATAAAGACTTAAATACTAATGTTATACAAAAAAAAAATTTTATTCATTTAATTAGTTCAAAGCATGAACCTCAAATTTTAATTTGTAACAAACACCATTGAGTCTAGGTTCAAGACTCAAATAAATTATACAACTAGACCATAAAAAAAATATATTTTTTATTAGTGAAAACAAAAAAAAAATAATGATGCACTTTTTTTTTTAACCAGAGAAATTTTTATATCAAAATATTATGGTTTATTAATTAAAAAATGAAGTAAATGCAATAGATGATTTTCAGGTTTTTTTTTTTAATTTTTATAACACTAGTTAATTTTTTTAATTTTAAAAAAAGTAAGAAATAAATATTATTTTTCCTCTTTTATGTTTAATAATTTTTTATTTAATAAATTATTTTATTAAGATAACAAACAATGCATTTTAAAATGTCTATTTTTTAAATGATTTGTCTATTAAAAATTATATTTTTTATTTTTAAAAATTGAATAATATGAAAGAGAGAATATGTAATTTAATATTTAAAAATTATAATTATTGACTAAATAAAGGTTAAATCTTTTTATCAAATAAAATTATTATTTATCAAATTACTTTTTAAAGTAAATGAAAAATTTTTAAATAAAATTTTAAAACAATTCAAAAACTTAAAAGGAGATAACTAGCTTTAATTATAAACCTCGCATTCTTAATTTATTTAATATACAAAAAATTGATTTATTTAAATTATAATGTTTTCATCTTTTACAAATAATTTAATTAGATCTTGATGTTCTCTCCATATTTAAAATTATGGTTATAATAAAAATATTATAAATTATATTAGTTGTGAGTTGTTAAATTTGAAAAATTATAAAAATTATAAAGAGTTAAATAAGATTAACTTAAAATTCACATGATAAATATAATATTTAAAAATTTTAAAGAGCAAAAATATGTGTATCAAATTTAAAAATTTTTAAAAATTGAGGGATGCCTTGCACCTCGTCCTCTCGCATCTACGTGGTGTGTAGATGAAGATAGAAGTGTTCATATTCGATTCAATCCAATTGATTCGATCTAAACTGATCCAATTTAATCAAAAATCGATCCAAACCAATATAAAATTGGATTGGTTTGAATTATAAAATTTTAAAACTGATATAATTGGCTTGGTTTGTGATTTTACCTTCAAACGGTCTGAATTGCTCGATTATAAAATAAAATCCGATTATAAGATAACTTAATTAAATAATATAATATATTTTTTTGTAGTATTTTAAAATTTCTTTTTCTTATTTTACAAGGTAATAACTCTATTAACTTAATTGAAAAATAAAAATAGAACATCTTCATATTCCCTAAGTTATTTTTCCATTTTAATCATACACTCTAATCCTAATTTTAAATTTCTAATTCACCTGCAACTCTATCCCCTCATAACTGAATTACGTCTTTATTCTTAGAACCCTAAATTTTTAATTTATTCTTAAAATAATCTTATAATTCTCATAACTAAATTTTAAATATGTATCATTCTAAAAGTCTTAAAACTATATAATAAAATTAGTCTTAATATTTTACTATTCTTGAATATTTGGTTTAAAAGTTTTAACTTTTGATTATGAATGCTTCTAATCAATTTTAGTGATATTCATGTTAAATTTTATTCACTTTTAACAGAATTTAGAAAATAAAATTAAATTATTAATGCATTAAGAGAAAAACTAATTTTAATTTTTAAGAATTATTTACGTTATGCTAGAAACTTGAAATCATCTTTTATTGTTCTTAGTGCCTCAAGTGATGTAACCAAGAAGAATTTTCAGATCTCTTCAATTTTTACAAATGTAAATAAATATAAAAACTCATTTATAATTTATACTTTTATTATATTTTTACTGATTTACATGCTAATGTGTTTTATAGTTATGCTTTCTATTTGATATTAAAATATTTTTACATTATCTTATATATTTAATAATGTTAAAAACTAATCAATTCAACTAAATCATACCAATCCAATTTAAATTGAATTTATTTAATTATCATATAATATTTGATTAGATTGATTTAAAAATTTTATTAATTAATTAATTTAAATTAATTTAAAAAATATTAAAATTTAAACCAAATCATACCGTAATCCTATTAGATGAAGAGGTGGAAAGAGAAACATGAACCCAACATTAACGCATCTCTAGGTGCACGAAAGTTATCAGGGAGGACAAACATTAATAATGGGTACCGTGGGATCCCATTAAAGGCAGGGCGGGCGAAGAGGAATCTGAGAGGGGCGGGGAAGGACTTTTTCCCCCAAAATTTCATTGAGAATTTTCTCTTTTCTGTAAAAATTAAAAAATAAATTCTTTTTTTCCTTTTACAAGATTTTCTACACAAAGCAAAAAAATAAAAAAAAGATTATGATGATTAAGTAGTTGATAAGTAACTAATTTCTTGTACTCCCATAATCTCAAAATAACTATGGGTTTTTTTTTATTTTTCCTCATATTAAGAATTAGTAAACACTTTATTTTTCTGCCTATCTTAGCCTTAAGAAAGAAACAAAGATAAAAGAGAAAATTTTAGTATTAAGCTGGATATTTGAAGTTAAATGATAACACCAAGATTAAAGTAGATGTACCAAAAAAGTATGTTAAAGTAGAAAAAAAAAAGTTTGTCTACCTTACAAAATGAAAAATAAAGAGTAATTTGGGGCAAACTAATTAAAAAATGATAGTTATTTTTATAATTAAAAAATGACAATTACGTTATCTGGTTATTAATTCTTTTTCGTCTGTTATAATAACAAAAATGATATAACTATAATGTCATGTGATATTAAAATCTTATAATATAATGTATCATTATATAATTAACTCTTTTCAATTGAGAGTTTACTTATAATATTGTATGTATTTATTTTTTTAAAAAATATATCATATTTATTTAATATTATATTATAATTCTAAACTTACATTATAATTAAAATGTTATTTGTGATTAAAATTTCCAAATATGAAACTCTATAGAAAAAAATTTTCAAATATAATAGACAAAATATCTTTAAAAATTCTATTTAGTATTTAGGGTTTAAAATTTTCGAATGTGATATGAGAATCATCATATTGTCATTAGGGATCATATTCAATATGGCTAAATTTAATAAGTAGTTTATTAACTATGTGATTTATTTCAGTTTAATCTAAAAACAGTTTTTTCTTTCAAAATGATCTACAAACTATCAATTTGGTTTCAAAATGGTCTACTTGACAAACATTCATTTAACTTACTAACAAAATTCTTTCTCATAAGCTATCCTTTAAACTTTTGAAAAATGTTAAATATAGTACATATATTTTTATTTTTTACAACATTTTGTTTTTAATGTTCAATTTTTTTTGTCAAATATAATAATTAACCAAGATAAAATTTCAATTTACATTCATTAAGATTCTAATTTTAATTTACAATAATCAATATTATAATT